AAACAAATACAAAAAAAATCGCTGTTTGGTCCAGTACACCCAACCGCAATGAAAAGCCGGCATAGGGGAATGCCCCTCCAGACTTGAAGGGTGTACTGGCCTTCGCGTACAATTTTACTGAGCTATCTTTCGGTCTCAGTGCACCCCACCGCAATGCAGCAAAGGGCAGTTTACGCATGCCCCCCTGAGACATGTGGGGTGACTGAGACCCCGATAGTCAGTCGTGGTTGGAAGTCCCAGCCCACTCCATCGCAATAAGAAGGCGCTCAGGAGCGCCAGCGCAGACCTATGGAGTGAGCTGGGTTCAATAGAAAAATGTATATATTTTTTTTCCAAAAAAAACAAGTCGCAAAAAAAAAACCCCAAACAAAACAAAAAAAATATTCGGCAGAAGAAAAATTAACTACGAAAATCTAATACTCTATTACTCTATATACTAAACCCCACTTAGCGGACAAATTTTCCCCAACTCCCATGCCGACATATCGGACCACTGAACAATTTGGAGAAAAAACAAAGTCAAACTACAGAAAAACTAAGTGCGTTTAGCACTGCCTCACCGGGTGAATACAAAACTCCGGAGGACGTGACGTGAAGTCTCGGAAAAGCCCTCGGTTGCTGACCAAGAGGACCAATCCGAACCGGCACACTCAGCTCCACTCATCCCGCCGCAACGCAGCAAGGGGCAGCAATCACATGCCCCCCTGGGACTTACGGGATGGTGAAGCCTAATGTGCCAGTCAGGACCAGTCAACCAGACCAGACCTCAGGCTACCCCGTTGGGCGCCATCTGTTATGGTACGCATATGTTGAGAACAGTAATGAGTGCAGGCGGCATGACACAATGGGGTGCACTGTGGCTAGTCATGTCGNGAAATTTTTCAAATAAAAATGGAAAAAATCAAGAGTTTTAGCTAGGTGGCGCGGTATTACCGACACGGATCGCGACAAAAAAAAAAAACAATCGAAAAATATCAAAATTAATTATTCAGCTGCGTACTGAATAGGAATATACGCGCGAAAAAAAACAGCAAAAAAAAGAATCAATCAAAAAAATTATTTTTAGTAAATAAACATGTAAGTTTGTTAGTTAAATATACGTGGTCATATACGTGTATATAAAAGATCGGTTGATATAGATTGTTTATAAGTGGGAAATATGTATATTTTCAAAGTCAATGGGAATGCTGATCTCCCCCTAACATTAGGAGGGCACTAGTCTACGAGAAAATAAGGTACAAGGAAAACAAACACAAAAGTCGCTATTTGGTCCAGCACACCCAACCGCAATGAAAAGCCGGCATTATGGAATGCCCCTCCAGACTTGAAGGGTGTACTGGACTTCGCGNGGACCACTGAACAATTTGGAGAAAAAACAAAGTCAAACTACAGAAAAACTAAGTGCGTTTAGCACTGCCTCACCGGGTGAATACAAAACTCCGGAGGACGTGACGTGAAGTCTCGGAAAAGCCCTCGGTTGCTGACCAAGAGGACCAATCCGAACCGGCACACTCAGCTCCACTCATCCCGCCGCAACGCAGCAAGGGGCAGCAATCACATGCCCCCCTGGGACTTACGGGATGGTGAAGCCTAATGTGCCAGTCAGGACCAGTCAACCAGACCAGACCTCAGGCTACCCCGTTGGGCGCCATCTGTTATGGTACGCATATGTTGAGAACAGTAATGAGTGCAGGCGGCATGACACAATGGGGTGCACTGTGGCTAGTCATGTCGGCTGGGCGGGGTTCTTGCCTCACTACTGTTCCCTGCGCCATAGCAGAGAAAAGGCATGCCTTGTCAAACGTCGTTAACGGACGGACAAGCCACAAAATATTCAAAAATTCAAAAAAAATCCGTTAACACAAAAAAAAAGCTGAAAAAGAAACTAAGGTTAAATTTAAATATTTAAAATAAACTGAAAAATCCAAATAAGATCAAATCCAACTAAAACCCTGAAACAAAAGAAATTAACCAAAACAAAAAAACTTTAAGGCCGAATATGAGGGCGCCACCGATGTTGGCGTGACGCCCGGTGCTGGCCCACCCTAATCCATGGCTACCGTTGCACCCTAATTTCGGTAGCCCCATAATTAAAATCCCTAATGTGCCTTCTTAAATAATCGAGAAAGCCAGCATTCCCATTTTAATGATACAATTTATTTAAAATTCATTTTCTTAACAACTTATCCTTAAAACTAATCATCCTAACACTAAGTCCTAATCTCTAAAACTGGTAGGTATATGTATTTACTTAAACAATTAGGTAGGTATGTCTCTTAAGTCTAAAGCAAGTGTGTTAATCGCAAGAGGGTAAGGTAAGTATAGGTAATTAGAACTGAGGTAAATATATGAGGTAAGTGTTTACCCTAAAGTTAAATCAAATTAAGTGAACTAAGTTAAGGCTTGCTAACTGTATCCAGTATTTTCACAAAAAAAAGGTATATAAAGTAATAGTGGGTAAATTTACGTTAAGCGGGTAAGTAATTCAGGTAAGTCCGACATGTAAGTAAGTCCGGTAAGGAAAATTAGGTAGGTAAGTCGGGTTTGTAGTTCTGGTAAGTATATGAAATCTATTTCCCTTATATTTCTGTATTTATTTGTTTAAATTTCGTTTTAGGTCTTTAATTTTTTCCTTTAAATCTTCTAATTTCCTTTTTCTATTAGATTTATTATTATTAGTAATACTAGTTGTGCATATTAAGTTCTTTGTTATATCGTGGCCATTTTCTTTGTTATAATTTCCTTATTTACATAGAATTATATTATTTGAATTTATATTAAAGTGTAGTTTACTTTAGTTTATACACTGGATTATTTTTATTTGTATATCTTTCGTTTTATTTTATTATTATTTATTTATTTATTTTAGTTAAAAATTAGGTTACTTAAGGCGTTATCTATATTAGTTTACTTTAGTTCGCTTTAGTTAATTTAATTCACTTTTATTTAATTTGATTCTATGTTTGTTTAAGGAAATTTTCTTCAATTTTTATTTTTTTTCCAGTTAATTTAATTTACTTTATTCAATTTGCTTTTATTTAATTTAATCTCAATATATATACCAAACGCAATATATATTACAAACTGAATACGAAGAAAACCTAATGCAGCCACTAGGGCTTATATGTGCATCATACCCTGGATATGCCTCAAGTGAGGTTCATTCATTATAACTATGTATGATCGCCTTATCTCGTGTATGGTGGAAAAATATGTTAGTTAATTATGATAATTGATAATATGTATGTACACTTGTACCTTAATATATAAGTTTTATGTATGCTAATAAGGTATGTATCTATTTATATTAAATGAAAATTGAACTTTAAAAGTTACATCATATCCTAGTCATAAGCTAAACTGTTTTATAATTAGCAGTCAGAGTTGGTTCAGTGTTTAATGGTTTCTACGTTAAGGTATGTTTACCTCTCCTGCCCCAGAGGTTGGGTGCTCTTTAATTTAAGCTCACATACAAAAATGCTATTTGTCTTCTTTTTTCTTATGTTTTAGCTCTACTTCCAACTTTATATTTATTTTCAAATTTTATATGGCCCGAAGGACTCACCCTTGTTGCAGCAGGCTTGTGTGTTGTTGTGACTGTTGGTTGGTTGTTATAGCTGGTGTTGGTCATTAAAGCAGGGGTTAATCGTTATAGCCAGCGTTGCCATTTTAGCCGTTTTCCGGCTAGATTTAGCCGGTTTTGATGGCAACTAGCCGGAGAAAATTCGATCTAGCCGGCAGCCGATTTGTTAGCCGGTTTGTAAAAAAAAGTTAGCCGTTTTTAGCCGATTTTACTATTTGCCTAATTTTCAGGTGCAAAAAGTAAACAAGTTGTTCGAAAGCAATAATGCAGACCCAATGAAGATTTTTAATGAACTCAATGTTTTACTTTCGCATCTATGCTCCCTAGTGGTTATTAGCGCGGACACATTTGATCCTATATGCTCCCCGTTGGAACCATACCTTGCTCCATTTCCTCAGTTTTATCACAGTTTTGAAGAGTATTTAAAAACAAAAGTAAGCACAAACGCTTTTGACCACGAAGCCGAGAAAATAATTCGAGAAAATGGTCGCTATTTTATTATCACTTTAATAAAGGAATTACGCCAACGCCTCCCTACAAATATTGCCACACTAAAAAAAATTGACTTTTTTCGGTTGGAAATGCATTAAGAGTAATTAAACCAAAAGTATTTGTTCAACTACAGCAACAAAAACACAAATATAATGCCGACGAAATAACATCCATAGAGATGCAATGGCAACGGTTAACGTTACATACCTGGAGTAATTTAGACTCAACTGTAAAATTTTGGGCCGAAGTTTATCAATTTCGAAATGCCCTAGGAGAAAACCCTTTTGCTGACCTTTGCAACCTAGTTTTTAGTTTTCTTGTTTTGCCTATAAGTAATGCAGAAGTAGAGCGAATATTTAGTTCAATGAATATAATAAAAACTAAGCAAAGAAATCCAATGTGCGTTAAAACGTTAAACGCTATTTTATATATAAGATACGGTTTAAAACGTGAAGAAAAATGCTGCCATAATTTTACTGTAGATGACGATCTCTTAAAATTAATGAATTCAGGTGATATATACAATTCATTTGATGATGAGGAATATACACTCGAAATAAATTAATGGTGTTAACCAGTCTTTCGTTTCTTGCGATTTATTTAAATAAAGCATGTGAATTTTCACTAAAACATTTTAGCCGTTTTTAGCCGCTTTTTTTTGCCAATCTAGCCGGTCGGCCCAAAAAGTTCTGGCAACACTGGTTATAGCTGGTGTTGGTCGATATAGCTGGTATTGCCACTCTTTGCGCGGTCGCTGGCGCTCTGGCGCGCTGGTTACCCGGGTGCTTACCCCGGTTGTTGGTGTTGTCGGTGCTGGTTACCGCTTTTGCGGTTAGTGCCGCCGCTCCTTGGGCGGTTCGCTGGTGTTACCGCTCTTGTGCTTACCCCGGTCGCTGGAGTTCTGGCGCGCTGGTTACCCGGGTGCTTACCCCGGTTGTTGGTGTTGTCGGTGCTGGTTACCGCTTTTGCGGTTAGTGCCGCCGCTCCTTGGGCGGTTCGCTGGTGTTACCGCTCTTGTGCTTACCCCGGTCGCTGGAGTTCTGGCGCGCTGGTTACCCGGGTGCTTACCCCGGTTGTTGGTGTTGTAGTTGTGGCTGCTGCTGTAGCAGCCGTGGTTGTTGTTGGTGCCGATTGTTGTCGGGGTTGCTAGGCGGGGTGCTGGTGTGTTCGGGTGCTCCCCGGTTGATGCACCGCTCTCTGGTGGTTGCTGGTGTTGCGCACCCGTGTTACGCCGTTGTATGGGCGCTGCTGTGGTGGCGGCAACTATAGCCGGATGGGGTAGCTGCAAAATAAGAATTTTTTTAGAACAGTACGAAAGAGCACAGAAGTGTTGGTTTAAATTAAAGTTAAATTCTTTGCCTACACGTGTATGTTGCAGCCTTTAGGTTTGGGTCGCGCGTTTGCCCACGGCACCCCAAAATCATTGTACAAATAACCAAACCCCCCTTGACTGTTTGACACTGGATTCGTCCATAGCGTACAATATATGTGTGTGCTTGCTTGCTCCAAGCTACTCCATTCAAATAAGAAGCTGGAGCAGGAAATCGTGCTCTCACCGAAGGTAGAATACTTTGGAGCACGGAAATCCTCCAGAAACACCCAGAGCAGCTCATTACACTACTTATGGTTATTTGTATTAAAGAAGACTTACCTTGATTACGGCTGCTGTGGATGGTGCTGGTTGTCGTTTGGCGAGATTGGTGCTCGTAGGTGGTGATGGGGCTCTGTAGCTGAGCCTTCCGTACGGTTTGGGTACTGGATGATGGTGTGGGGTGCCCTCCACCCAGTGGGCTTATTTTAGTTTAGTTTTTTTTTCCTTTTTTTCACTTCACTGATCACTGTGGGGTTTTCTTTTCTTCGCCCTTTTCTTCACTTCTCTAGCACTTGTGTTCCTATTTTTTTAATTATTTTTAATGAATTCTTTTTATTTTGTTCAAACTTTTCCTTTTTAAAATATGTCTGTAAATTCTTGGTTTGTTTCGCTATATGACTGGCGCGAGTTCATCAAAACGATTTTGCTAATGGCCGACTGTGGGGTTGCCAGCAGGTTTTTATACCCTCGCAACTTGCGCAGTAGCATTGATGGCATGTTAGGGATGCCACAGTGTTATCGATATGTCATGCAGGCCGATTGGGTTAATTTGTTTATTTCTTTGATTTTATAAGCAAGTTAGGGATGCATAGGTGGATTTTGAAATTTACATAACCGATTTACGCGATGGTAAATGTAGATAAGGGCGTCAAAACTTATTAATTAGTTATTTTTATTTCAGGAAACCTAATGTTACTTTTTTTTCTGTCTTTATCGACTATTGTTGAAAAGCTTAGTTTGAGAGAATGCTAACAAGGCTCTACCTATGCTAAGTATTCTAAAAATCGGCTGGAATGATATCGGAAACTTTTGAGAAGAAATTAATAATTGTCTGTTAGGAAAAGGGAAAATGATTTTGTTAAAAATTTTAGTTATTCTGAGCGCTGCATTACATATCGATTTTTGGGCCAAGGGGCCATCTCTATATCACGCGCAATTTGGTAACGGGAGTCTCGCGTGATTTTTGTAACGGCGGTTTCGCGGAAAGTTTATAACGGCAGTTCGCGCCGCCAATGAAACCCTGCCACATAATAGTCCTATAGTGTGGCTTGTCTAAAAGGTGCCGTCTTCTCTTTTCCGCTTTTGCTCTTTTTATGTCCTGGCCGCAATGTTCCCTGTAGTGGAAACCCCGCCAAGAATTGTCAAGATGGTAGAGACTCATTGGCAGTTTTAGCGTTGCCGTACGCTCTGGACAATATTAAATGGTGAATTTTTCCAACACGTTACCGGGTGCACTATACGCCGAAGAATGAAATATTTAGATTTCTGTGCGGCAAACAGTAACCCATAACTATACATTTGAATTATGTATTGCAATATATAATAAAAGTAAAGTTAAAATTAATGCTTAAAATAAGTTAACCTGTTACATTTTTCCTTCTAAGCTATATAATAGTTTATGTATATTTAACTAAGATAGCATATTCTCGATGCTGCGTGAATGGACGTGATTCCAAGCAGTACCGTAAATATATCACGTACGATATGCGGTCTAAGAGTATAATTCCCAGAGCCGCCACAACTGGTCGGTTGGAAGGACTAGTTTCCAAGCCGCCTCTTATAAACTTCTCTACCGGCAGGTGATCTGAATGGACGAGATCCAGAGTCGCGCTATTTGATCGGACGGAAAGGACTAGTTTCCATGCCGACCTTCTTATTTCATACATTATGGGTGATCTGAAAGGACTAGTTTCCATGCCGACCTTCTTATTTCATACATTATGGGTGATCTGAATGGACTAGATCCAGAGTCATCCAGCTAGTACGGATGGGAAGGACTAGTTTCTATGCCGGTCCTTTCTATCTAATAGCCAATGTTATATAGTGATCAAGTAGCAGCCTTTTGAAGGTACCAACGTTTTCGTAATTTTTTATTTGAGCTGGAAGTTCATTGTAACATTTTAATCCCTTATAAAAGATATTCTTCGTATCTATTTCCGTTTTATACAGCGGTAGCCTGGAGCTATTATTTCCCCTGCGTAAATGCGAATGGGTTTCACTATTATATCGTAGCATATCACTCAGATAATCTTTAAGTCTACCTTCTTTTATGTTAAACACGAATTTCATAGCGGGTTAGAAAATTTGCTCTTTCACGCTCAGCCAGTTTAATTCTGCGATCATTTCCTGTATGGGTGTGTCATACCGCTTGTTCAAGATAAATCGCAGAGCCCTATTTGGCATTTTTTGAAGCTTATCTATTTGTGTGTCGCTTGCTATAAAAAATATTTGTTACGCGGGTGTTATCAAAGTGAGGCGGTACGCAGGCATCGTGGCAAAGCCCAGGCTAGCTCGCCGGATGGGGGGGTTTTTTCGCCCACCTTACCTACCCTGCGTAAACAAAATTGTCATGCCTGAGCATCAGTACCAGCAATACTAACAAAAATTAGTAGAAGGAGAAGTACAGCTGAAGGGAAGGCCCGTCCTGTCAGGTGGAGTCGTCCCACCCACTTTGCGCATTTCGCTTACGCAGCCATGGGCGTTGCTCTGACTCCTAATGTTGCTGCAACGTCCCCTTAGACTGACATAGTACGTCTGTCTATTCGTCGATCGGTTCTGTCTCAGTCCAGTCCCTAGTCAACGCCCTCACGTCCCCTCTTAAGCCCTAGTGTAACACCCACACCAAAATGAAACCTCACCACTTCATTTTGATCGAGTACCTTTCAATCACAAAAGAAATAATCAGGAGTGTCTTTGTTCATTTGCTTACAATTTATTTTACAACTTCAACCGCATTCCATATTTAACAATAGCAAATTCATAAATTAAAGATAACTCAGATTTCAAATTATTATGGCAAGCAATTAAAAAAACTCTAAAAGCTAAAATAAAAAAACCCAAACGAATTTCAAATTGTTATATATAAAGGGAAAATATTTATTAAAGGAGATTTATTATAATAACACAAAAATAAAAAAAAAGCCACCCATCTAAATTCAATGAAAACTTCAACCACTTCTTAACTTATAATGTCAAAGGGCAGAAGAACTCTTATTATAATAAAATATATAAATATTTATGTGCAACCATGAAAAAAAATAATAATTGTATCTTGCTTACAATTTATTTTACAACTTCATCTTTGTTCATTTGCTTACAATTTATTTTACATCTTCAACCGCATTCCATATTTAACAATAGCAAATTCATAAATTAAAGTGAACTCAGATTTCAAATTATTATGTTAAGCAATTAAAAAAACGCTAAAAGCTAAAATAAAAAAACCCAAACGAATTTCAAATTGTTATATATAAACGGAAAATATTAATTAAAGGAGATTTATTATAATAACACAAAAATAAAAAAAAGCCACCCATCTAAATTCAATGAAAACTTCAACCACTTCTTAACTTATAATGTCAAAGGGCAAAAGAACTCTTATTATAATAAAATATATAAATATTTATGTGCAACCATGAAAAAAATAATAATTCAATAAAAAAATATATAAAAATTACGAATTCAACGAAAAACTTCATTGACTTCCTTCAATTCAAACTTCCAAATTCATTAGCAATTTTACTTTCCTATTCCGAATCAACCGTGAACACCCTTTTTCTTTATACATAGATAGGTCGCAATTGTATATGCGCATACGATTAATAAAGGTGAAAAAAGCAAACAAACTCAGTACTAAGATTAGCAAAATCAAAACAAAACCCGAAAGAGGTTTGTCCCTCGCATATGTATGTCTACATGGATATATATATACATATATATATAAGTATATAATTCGTATTCCACTCACCTTATTAGTCCCTCGATGATGGTACCAACATACGGAGAGGACCCTGGAAATGGCTGGAAAGCAACATATTGGCATACATACATAGGCTCACAGCTGGCGTCTACAAGCCTGAGCTGTCAAATATCTTTATCATTCGCTCGTGTTTGCGGGCGGCGAACGAATCATTACCTCTTTGCGTAACGAGTACAAACATAGAAAAAAAATAACTAAAAAAAACCGGAATAAATCGCGCATAAAAACTAGCCCAGATAAAAATTAAAGTGGAAGCTAATCCCTAATTGATCATTGAAAGCAAAAAAAAAACTAATTAGTGTAGAAAAAACTAAACAAACTGAAATTCGAAAAAAAATTAAGATTACAACACAATTTAGCCTGCTTTTGGCCGTGAGGCTAGATATAATTGGGGAGCAGGTACCCTAAACCAAAAAAAAAGGGAAATTAAATTTAAGTTAAAGTACTCTACTTTAAATTAAAAAGCAACTGAAAATGTACGAAAATAATCTGGCAAAAAAAAACAAAAAAACGATGGGCATAATATTAAGAACGTGGAGTGTTTACATAATTACGTGCGAATTAGTGTAAGAATTAAAGAGCAAAAGGAAATGACATAGAACAACGAAAATACTAAGTTAAGCAAAAAGGAATAAGAAAACTATATCTAAGCTAGCTGCGCTTCTGCGCTGGCAGGTCGCTCTCCCTCAACTTCGCTTGGGCGATCGCGCTGTAGCTAACGGCACTATGACATGCGCGTATGTATGTATGCGACTCCGCTCCTTCAGATTTAGCCCGCTGGAACTCTGCAGACTCCCACGCTGGTAAGTATCGGTCCACTCCTCTCTATTGCCAGCTTACTTTACTTCTTATGTACGGGCGAGTAAATATGTATATTAACTTGTGCAGCGGGCGTTGACCCGCTCTTTCACTATGTATTCAGCACAGCTGGTCGTAGTGCTGTGGTTGTTGTTTCCCCAGCGCCTGTTTCTCACCGATAGCATGTAGTGAAGTCGCATGTGTATGAGTGAATGTGTTGGTGTTTCCTTCTCCTTACTACCTCGCGTCGAATGTTGCAAGTGCGCCCCTTGCGGTGTTACTTCGTGCAACTTTTTCGCCAGTGGTAAATGCTCAGGGGGTCATACCGTCCTTCTATGGCCGTTATAAGTGTTGGTGCCTGGTTGTGTGTCCTATGGCGGTTTAATTGGTTTTGTGGCGTCGCCTATAAACTCCGCAGGTTTACTGTTGTGAAGGTCCTTTATGAGTAAGGTGCTGGGGACGTAAAAAAAATATCAAAAATCATTAGAAACGATTCGGAACCAAGATTTCCTCCAATGCACATTTGTGTATGTACATCCATATGTACAGATGCGGATATGCATGTGCGCGTACACACATATATACCTATGCCTGTTTTTTGTATGTTTGTACGCACGTATGTAGCCAAGCAAATGCACTTGCTCACCTTTAACGTTACTCGCACCAAACTTTCGCAGAGGCTTTAAAAAATTCAATAATAATAAGGCAAACGTCTGCATTGTCTCTTTCTCAACGCGAGTTCGAATCAATTTTGTAATTTTTTTCATAAAAACCATCCGCGTTTTATTTAACACTTCAATCAGAGGTATGCGATAGGTTAGCACATGTCTGAATTTCTTAAAAAAATTTACAGAAACGGCGAAATATTTCTTCATGGGGCAGAATACTAAGCCCTAGTGCGTACATTATATGCATATACAACATTGGAGGAACCCACGAT